TGTCTCTCTCCCCTTAAATACGCAGCTGTGTTCCCATCTCACAGCTCCTCTCTGACAACACTCTGCTCACTCACTCTGTGTCCCTCTGGAAGCACAGCCCTCCTCATGGAGGAGTCTGGGTGACAGCAGCAGCTGCCACCCATCTGTCCCTCACTTAAGCAGAGCCATCCTGCACCTCCACGTTCCTCAGCCCTCTCCTTGATGCCTGTGGAACTGACTTTGGTGACCCTTTCTGCTTTTCTTCATTCCTGTGCCCATTTCGGATCTGGCCTCACTGTGGTGGGACCTCCGGTAGGCCTCGGCTTTGAAGTTGTTTCCAGTCACATTCTGATATCATAAAGCTGGTTAGGATGTCTCTCTCATCTCAATGACAAAAAAAAAAATTAGCTTGAGTTGTTCAGAGATGGCTTTGCTCTGACCTGTTCTTGTGCCTGGCTTCACAGCCACATTGACTTGTCTATTTTTTGTTTTGTTTTGTTTAATTTATTTTTGTTTTGTTTTTTGAGACAGGGTTTCTCTGTGTAACCTTGGCTGTTCTGAACTTGCTTTGTAGACCAGGCTGGCCTCCAGGTTACACAGATCCATCTGCTCTGCCTCCCTGAGTGCTGGGATTACAGTCGTTCACCACTGCACTCAGCTGACTTTACTTTTTTTTTAATTGAAAATTTTTTCGTAGAGTTGTTTTATGTTTTCCTCTTACCTCTCCCACCAACCCCCCCCCCCCCCCCACACACACATGCAGTCTCTATTTTCACACTTTTTAGCACTTTGTCTCCTGGGCTTTGCTTGAGCAGGTGCTTGTACTGACTGGTGGGGATAGGCAGAAAGGAGGAGGGGAGAGAGGTGGGCTCATGAGGGAGAGGGAGGAGAGAAGAGGGGGAGGAGGGGAAGGGGAAGGGAGGAAAGGGGGAGGGGAAGGGAGGAAAGGGGGAGGGGAAGGGAGGAGACTCCTTGTCTTTTCTCTGACCTCCAACAGTGTCTTTTTTGACAGACATCTGGTCTCTTTCCTAATCCCATTAAATGTTGCCTCTCAGTCTCTGATTTACCTCCATTCTTTCTCTTTGTTTTCTTTTATTCACCGCCCCTGTAATTTCTTTTCCTTCTTCCTCTCTTTTCCCTGCCTTCTTCCCATCCTCATTTTCTTTGATAAGAATTTCCACAGCTCTGGGGTGAGCCATGTCAGCTGCTAACCCAGTCTCTGCTTGGTGATATTGACAAATAACAGGAGAAAACCCAGCTTTTCAGTTCTGCAGTATCAATGGAATGTTTTGCTCTGGTCAGGTCCTCAGTAGAATGCTAGTTAAAGGTTCTGAAAATATGAGATGAACTGGATGTAAAGTGAATAAATAAATCAATTAAAATTTTAAAAAGAGATGAACTCTGAGTGCAGCATTTTTCTGAGGGGTGTTTGTCTTGCCTTGTGAGGTAAAAGCATCTTGACCTCTGATACATGTTTATTCTCCTGTTGGAATGATGAATCAAGCCACACCCCTCTAGATGGGAACACATAGGTCATGGAAAGACTCCAGTGCAATCTCGGGTCTCCCCAATTACATTCACCTCAGCTTTCCCTGAGAATGCAGCAGAATCCAACACCCTGCAGTGAATTACCTGGGAGGCTAGGATTGTGTCCCCTGAGCCAGACACTGAGAGCTTCCCTGTCCTCAAGGAACAGGGTCAAGGACCTGCCCGGCTTCACAAATAGTGGAAAAAGTGAAGCAAAGAGAATGCATGTGATCTTTACTCTCTGCCTAATAACTTTTAATAGCAAGAATTTGGATTACATGTAAGTAAATGCAAATAACTTGGAGCTCACAGGAGACAATGGCTGCTTATTTAAACATGCAAGGCACTTGAACCAGACACTAGGCCCAAGCCTTTCTCTAGGACCCTTGTCCCTGCCTTCAGATAAATTAGAAATGTGAGGAGTGCTCACACTGTAACAAGGACATTAGAGACAAGCAGACATTCTGCTTTCATGCTAGGGAAAACAAATGGCAGAGCTTTAGGGATTATCTCACTCTGCAGCAGTGGAAAGGGAGGCTCAGAAAGGCCAGGAGTTGTTGGTAAAGCCTTGGGCCCACCTTGGACTCTAAGTTCCAGATGGCTAGGAGCCAATTCCATGAATCCTCCAACAATACTCACACCCATCCAGCCTGGACACTCTGTGCCTCCTTTACTCTCAGTAACCACTTGAATTGTAGAAAGATTGGCAGGGCAGAGTTGTCTAAGGCTCTCAGTGAGACACTGAGTGGGAAGAAAATCTTTTAGGAGTCTCTGGTCCACTGGGGTCCCAAGACAATGAAACCATCCCTTCTCCCAATCACCCAGTAGCTCCAGATTTCCGCAAACAGCTGCCTGCCAAGAAGAAAGGTTTCCTTTCCACACACTGCTCAAAAAACTCAGCCTTGAGGCTGCGAGATCATCATTTATATCTCTAAACCCATGTAAATGTGGGGAGGCAGGATGACCTACCTACATCCCAGCACATGGAGGCAGAGACAAGTATTCCCAAATGCAAGCTGCTAGCTAGACTAGCAAAACTGATGTGCTGGGTTTGAGTGACAGATCCTGCTTGAATATATAAGGTGCACAGTGATTGAGAAAAATACCCAATAGCATCTACATGTGTGTGAATATAAACACACATGCACATACCACACACACATAAACACACAAAAACAAAACCCCAAACCAAACAAAATTCAGTTCAGCCTTCCTCAAGCAATCCAGCTCCTGCCATCCCAATGTCCTTATCTCTCACTCCATGTGTAATTGAGGGGCCTTAAGGAAGTGAAAGAATTGTTTTCTGTTTAATCTGCATAGTTGCAAGGTTGGCATCCTGAGTACGTCAGTCATGTGCCTCATTCTGGAGTTGAGGCACAGGGAATGCAAGCAGAGCAGTCAGGAGTAACGGTGCGGTGGAGCGCCAGGGTGTTTGCAAGGTAGTGTTGATGAGTGTTAAAACCGACGTCGCAAATACAGTGTTCTCGATGTTTAAAATTACAACCCTGGGACAAGTCATGCTGCTAAACAGACAGGAAATACCAGCTAAGCCTTCGAGCAGAGACCACAGCCTTCCACACTGCCACTGCCCCAAAGTGCACAGCACACCATTTTCGTCGAAACGAAACAAGAATTAACAGGTAGTTCAGTGATTTGAGTGCCATGATAAGCAGAAACATAAATCCAAATATTAAACATCCATTACTACCTGATGAGCTAAGCATGAGCTCCGCATTCAACACGTGCCTCCTCTGCAACAAGCCCAGGAAATTCGGAGTCTGATGGAAAACACAGCCTAAGACTAATGCATCTGTTCAATGACCACGAGTCACTTCCATTGTCCACCTCACACGCTGTGAGGAAAACTTGGCCCATGTGTTTGTCTCAGAAACATTCAGCCGAGAGAAGCTGCCCTTCAGCCACCAGCTGGACATGGTGATGCTGTGTCTACTGTGTCCCCCAGTGAGGACTGAGCACAGGCCACCGTGACCGCTGCATGGGCTCACTTAACCTCTGCCCTTCCCGGGTTGCCAGGAGAAACTATTGGGGGAGCCATTATCTAACATGACCAATCAGAGGCTTGTGTCTGAGCCAGCACTTGTGAACTTCAGACCGTGGTGTGGTTTGGTGATGAAGGAAAGGTTTCCAGAGTCACCTCCATTCTTCACCTCCTACGGGAATTCACTGTAGTGTTGTAGCCTTTGGGGGTGTTCTCCCTCAGGTCTCTAAAACCACTGCTTGGAGGACACAATGATATTGGGACATTCTCAAGCTCAGAAGTGACTGAAAGTCTTGGTGGGCAAAGGAATATTCTTTTCACAAGGATACATATATATATATATGTATATATATACAAGAAATGTTTAAAAGACAGTCTGTAAAGCACTGTGGGATTCCCCCAGTGAAAGGCACCAGATAAAACAAGTCATTACCAAAAAGAAAAGTCAAATTTTCCAGCTTTCGTATCCTTGTAGGTACCCACTTAGAGGTATCTCCTTTTTTTGGTGGTAAACCTGCTCATTCAGAAAAAATCCTTATGAGAATGGCTAAGTTCTTCTGCCTCTTGGCTCTTTTCTTCTTGCCATCAGCTTCCCGGTCAGTGGTCATGGATAACAAATCCAGTTACCTTTTACCATCAGCCTCAGCGGACTGCACAGTCCTCACGGCTATGCCATCACCTGCCTGGTGTGCAGCTGAGGACGGCTTTGTAAATGTTCTGTCCTCCAGGGCTGAAGATAATAGCCAACAACAAGAGTTCCATGTGCAAACTCCAAACCAGCCTTCTTCTGGCTCATGGGTAGTTTCTCAAGTCACCTCATATTCCTGCTGCTTTGGAATAATAGACATAGTTGTGTCTGCATGTAGGCACTAGGAGGTTGCCCCCCTCTCCCCGCGTGAGACTCCAGTCTGATGAAAGATTTGAACTGGAGGCTCAAGGGCATTAAATGGCCAGTGCATCCATCCGACAAATTGCCCACACTGTAATTACCATGGCAACTACTAGTACACAACCCCCTCTGAAAGGCTCCACTTCACACCCCATTAGGTGTAGATTATCTTTAACCGGCTAAAACACAAAATGGACCAACTAAGAGTAGGCCCAAACTTTGGATTAAAAGCCTATCTATCTCCATATTTGGATCCCTGGATTCTGTAGCCTTGCCAAAGACTTAACAATAACAAAAGCCACTGGAAAACCATCAGATTACTTAGAAGATGATGGGAAAGAATTATCTTAACAGGGGCCCCAGGTTCCTCTTCATTGTGTTTTGTGCTCACTAACTGAACAGTATGTTGGAAAAGGAAATAGAGGTAACCATTCAATAGAGCTTAGTGGTTGAAAGGTTTTTTTTTTTTTTTTTTACTAGCTTTAAGCTTTTAAAGAAATTCACAGTTATTTATATTTTATGAAGTAGTAGTTTTGGTTTTATAACTCTTTTCTTCTGGTCTCTAGCCATTCTCCTCCTCTAAAAAAAAAAAAAAAACAAAAAAAAAAAAAAAAACACAAAAAACGCTGCAATTGCGGTGGAAATAAAAACTACAGCTTTCCCCCCCTGGGTAAACTGCGCTGCCTTCATGCCCATCACTAATGTGAATATGCTTCTGTACTACCATGTTCCAGCAGGGACTTGAGGCAATCAAAACATTGCACATACTATCCTGTGTCCGAGAAGCAAAACTACCTAAAGCAAACTCTGCTTGGAAACATAAACGCTGTCATTTGATGAGCTTTCAGAGCAGGCAAGAAAATGGTTAAGCCACTGCCCTTGCTAGCAACCTAACAGTGCTTGCCTTACAAAGACAGCAGCACTAACTCTTCTAGAGGAGAAAAACACACGCTCTTATTCCTAAACATCTTATAAAACGAACACTTGAAAAACATGCTAGTATCAAGACACAGAAAACTTTGGTCAAAATGGCTTGGATTGAGAATCTCAGCCAGAAATAAATGTCTCTGTAATTTCCCGAGGAAAAGTAGAGGCCTGACCATCAATAAAAGGGATTAGCCTACATGAACTCTGCTTACAGCACGCTGGGGTTTGGTATGGTCCATGCTTAGCTAAAGTCCCTGTCCCTAAACTATCTGTCTGGGGGGACATTCAGTCCTTCTGACATGTTGACTGAGTCACATCTCTTACACTGACACTTAGGAGATACATGTCAATACACATCTTTCTAAAAAATGACTGTGCATCATGCACACCACAAGACAGGATTAGGTAGGAAGACACCCGAAGACTTGCATTGGTCAAGTGTGTTAACTTTGCAATCTTTCTATTTTAGTATTAAAATTAAATAAAAGCAAGGGATAGATCGTTGAGATTGTTTTCACAGGTTGTGATACAAATCTCACGATATCCTTGCTGACCTCATAGACAGATATGTTTCCACTGGACAGAACTGTCAGGGCATCTTGTACAGAACTCACACAACAACCTCAAAAATAGGAGCACAGAAAACTCACAGATAATACTGGGGTCTAAGCACTGCATAGTGTACACAGTGGATAGAGAAATTGGCATTGTAGATACTCATCTGGCAGACAGGCGAACATTTTACACAAAGGCCAGTGAGTGTCATTTCACTGAAAGGGGCAAAGGTATGGTTTAGACACAACCATCCTCCAAGGAAATGACTCTAAACATTGCAAAGGCAATCTAGGGCTCATATCCCATGCAGCTATCCCTCTAGGGTCAGGACGGCTCCTCATGCCATAGCCCTGCGGGGCTGGACTGTGCCAGAGGCACAGACAGCAGATAAGCAATGTAAGTCTGTATCCCAGCTAGTGTAGAGAATCATCTAAACTCAGTTCACTGGGTGAACTCCTGCTCATGTTTGTCAGGCTGGCCATGAGGGATTTAACTTTATGGGCATAGTAGTCCCTTAAATTGACTGAAGGGACCTCCTTCATTCCATCTCCAAAGTCACAGCTGCGCATGGCACTCTCAAGTTGCTTTTGGCGCCGATAAAAGTGGGAGAACTTATTGAAGATCAAAGTGATGGGCAAGACCACTACCAGGATGCCTGCCAAGATGCAGGCAGAGGCAGTCAGCTTCCCGGCTGTGGTCCCTGGGACCACATCTCCATACCCAACAGTGGTCATACTGACGGTGGCCCACCACCAGCAGGCGGGGATGGTAGCCAGGCCCTCATTCTCCTCCTTTTCAATGGTGTAGGCCACCACAGAGAAGATGGAAATCCCCACTGAGAGGTAGAGCAAGAGCAGTCCCACTTCCTTGTAGCTGTATTTCAGGGTGGCTCCCAAGGAGCGGAGGCCAGTGGAGTGTCTGGCCAGCTTGAGAATCCGGAAGATCCGCATCAGCCGCAGGACCTGAGCCACCCTGCCCAAGTTAGCCAAAGTAGGAGAACTCTCCACCACCAGGTTCACTATTAGAGTTATGTAAAACGGGACAATGGACATGAGGTCAATAAGGTTCAGCGCGTTCCTGAAGAACTTGAGGAAGTCAGGGGCCACAGCAAACCTGGCCACCAACTCAAACGTGAACCAGGCGATCCCGAAGTGCTCCACGATTTCGAACCTGGGGTCCTCGCCAGGGTTGCCCTGGCTGTCAGGGATTTGGAAGTCCGGCAGGCTGTTGAGGCACATGGTGATGATGGAGCCCAGCACCACCAAGATAGAAAGGACACTGAAGACCCTGCTCAGGACCGAGTAGCCCGGGTTGTCCAGTGCCAGCCACAGCTGTCTGCGGAAGTTGCCCAGGGGCTGCCCGTCGAACTTGGAAGCATCGTTGTAGAAGGCCAAGATCTCATCGAAGGAGGACGTGGTGCTTTCCTGGTCACTTTGCTCGTCCCACTTTTCCTGCTCAGGTTCCACTTTGCGGCCGTGGTAGCTATAGCTGCAGCAGGAGTCGATGAAGAACTCGTTGATCCCCCAGTACTCGATCTCCTGGCTGAAGGAGAAGACGCACAGCTCAGCCATGACGTGGAGCTTGCCGGTGTGGTAGAAATGCAACACATAGGGAAAGAGCTCGGGGTTACGGTCGAAGTAGAACTCACGCTGGACGTCGTCGTAGTCATCGCAAAGTTCCAGAATGGCCTCTCGCGAGTGGCAGAGGAGCAGACGGCCCAGGCGTGTCTCGGGGAAGCGCAGCAGCGTGTGGGAGCGCAGTCGCCGCTTGAAGCCGCCCACGTTGATGCGGATTTCTCCATCCTCGACGTCGGCCTCGGACACGTCCCACAGGCTCTGGCGGGTCATGCTGGAAATGCCCAGGAGCCCGCGCCGCGCGGGGGCGCTACACCTGAAAGCAGAGAGACCCGCGTCTGTGTGAGCGCAGGCACTGCCTACCCCAGCCTCTCCTTCTCTCCCACCCTCCTCTGGAGGGCCCAGCCCTCTCCGACGGGGTCTCTGGGTGCGGTCGGGCACCCGGGAATGCTGCTTTGAGGTTGCCCCCCTCCCAAGGGAAGACAAGGGTGTATTTTTCTACAGTGCAGCCGGGCCTCCACCTTCTCCCCGGAGTGGCGCTCGGTGTTTTTGAAAGCCCGGGGGGGGGGGGGGCTGCATGCTGACCTTGCCTGTAAGCAGACCAAGGAGACGCCCCCGCCCTCTCGCCGCAGACAGGCGGGATCCAAGCTGAGATGCGCACAGGCAGGCCTGGGCCAAGAAGTGGGCGCAGAGATTTGGGAGGGGGCGGGGAAATTCAGTGCTTCAGTCCGTAAATCTGGGCCAAGGAGGGGAAGAGGGTCAACCGAGCGTCCTAGGTCTCCAGCCTCCAAGGACCCGTCCCATTCCCAGCCCCCTCCCTACCCCCACGCGCGCGCCTTCTGGCGGCGTGCCGCCCAGCCGCGTGCGCTGCGCCTTCCCCGGGCTCGCCTTGCGCGTTCTGGAAGCGCTTACCTGGGTGCACCGGCTCCTGCGGCCGAGGCCGGCGGGAAACTTGCCCGACCTGCTGGCCAGCATCGCCGCGGTGGCCGCAGCTGGCTGGCTGCGCGAGTGCGCGCGGGTGCGAGCTGTAGACGTGTGCGCCTGTGTGTGCCCCGCCACCGGGCAGGCGGGGTCCGCCGTGCGCCTCCTTCAGTCTCCGGCCCCGCACGCCGCCGCCCGCAGCCACGAGAGGCTCACAGGTGGCTGCGTGGCCCCGATGCTCGTGGAGCCTCCCCTTTTTCGATACGCGCACCCCTCACTCGCCAAGAGAAGCAGGAGCCCACGCCGCAGGCGCCTGCGGGGCGGGGGCGGGAACCGAGCTGGTGCGCCCTGCAGAGGGCCTGGAGCCCCGCTCTGCGCGGTGGTGCTGAACGGACAGCTCCGTGCGCTTCAGCCCGGGGCACAGCCACCGCCCCAGACTCTCATGATATTCAGCGGCATCATTCTGTTCTCATGCAGCCCCCCAGCTCTGCACCGTGCTGACACCTTTCCCTCACGCTCCGCATCCTCCGGGGACAGCTGCCCCCGCCTCCCAAAGCTCAGGCAGAGGGTTGGCTACAGTGACTTTCTCGCTGGGTCTGTAGGAAACAAGCTAGGGAATGAAGGATGACTTCTGTGTGTAGGGCAGATAGGGCAACAACAGAAGGATCTACGCGCTTCCTGTTTTAGAAACCTGAAGAAAAGTTTCCCACACCTGGAAATGTGGTTATTGGAAAACAGGAGCTGTCAAGGAAGACAGGTTGAACTGCGGCAGGGATACGGGTGGGGCGAAAGGTTGGGGACAGGTTCTGTTGGCATGGGATGGAGTCGTGAAGCTCCGTTTGAGAATTCTGCGTGGGTCCTGTGTATATACAGACCAGTGTGGTGTGGGAAGAGCATACAGTGTGCTGTGTGTGGAACGGCCCCGGTGTGGGATGTGTAGACAACTGTGTGCTGTGTAAGCAGTGTGACTTCAGCGCTGGTATCCGCATTCACAAGACTTAGGGTCCTCCTACCGAACACGCCAAGAAATGGAACCTTATTTCTGGGTCTCCCCTTGGTCTCCCGGCATGGTCTCAGAATGTGGGCTGCATTCTTAGCAGAGAGCTAGTGTTTCCATGTCTTGGTCAGGAGTCGTAAGACAGTTCCTGTAGGGTGGCTTTAGACTCAGGAAAAACAGCACAGCCATAATGAGAAACACATTCTCCTGTGTGGCTCTGAGGATGCCATCTGAATAGAGAGATGATCGGGCTGGAGCTGGGCTCTGGGTCAGAGTGCTTGACTGGCATGCGGGAACCTAGATGTTAATCCCAGAGCTGTGCCATCAGTGCAGAAGACTAGCCTGCTCTGGGCTTCCTCGAAGGGTCTGGAAAGAACCTGTGATCTAGTTTCGGATTCAGTCACTGAAGCCAAGTGTGACTTATCCTTGTACCAGCCGCCTTTGAGCCTGTGTGACGTGAGTGCACGGGCAAGCGTGTCCTCACTGAGGGTTCTCCACCCATGTCCCTGAAACCGCTCTGGGTGTGGGAGGGAGAATGGTGTGGTGTGGTCCACAGGGCCTTCCTTTCTTTGTGTCTGCTGCTGGTGTGTGTAGGGAGTGGGCTGTCAATTGGTGTCTGTCTCCATGTGCATTTATTTGTAATTACTCATTTCTCTTAAATGTTTTAGTTAGTATACAGAATAATTATGACATTCTTATGCATTTATCATTGTACTTTACTCATGACACCCTATCTACTACCTCCCCGCCTTGCTGTCCACTTTCCTCCCCATCCATCCTCCCTCCCTGTCCGTCCTCTCTCTCTCTTCTCTTTTGTTTTTTGATACAAGCTCTCTCTATGTAGCTCTGGCTGCCCTGAACTCACTCCCTCAAGCTCACAGGGTCTGCCTGCCTCTGCCTCACCAGTGCTGGGACCATAACTGTGTGCCACCTCCCCTGGCCCCAATCAACTCTTTTTAGGAGAGTCTGTTTGGCATAGTCTCACCATATCCTGTCTCATCTGGCTGGATCTATCATTTGAACGCTGGGGCTCCCCCACATCTGGCTGGGCTGCAGTCTGGAGGCTCCTGGGTTTCCTTCATGCCCATGGTGTGCTGTTGAGAGAGTGTCAGCCTCTGCAGAGTGGGTGTGCTTCGGTGCATATGTAATAACCAGCTTGCTGACTCTTTTCAGTCCTTCCCACACCTTGGAGGGTGGCTGTGAGGTCTCCACACTGCATGTGCCCTTCTCAGCAGCACCTGAGGACAACCACTCTCTACAGCCTGCACCCTCTCAGGTGCCTTCTGGCAATCCCAAGCCTTACAGCCACTGTTTGCTACACACATCTGCGTGGGTTCTGCTCAGTGTCACTATTTTCAGACACGCCCATATCGTCAACCTTGGCTTCTGACTCTTCAGAGCCTTGGCTTCTTGAACTCTGTTCATTAGTCTCCTTTTCCTGCTGTATTTTGGAAATCTATCCTCCTAAAAATAAGACATGAATTTGATGACTCTGAGGTTTTCTTTCCTTCTCACTCATCCCCATCCCCCTTTCTGATTATAGGAGACTTTGTTCATGAAGAAAGAAATTGGAAATTCTCAACTTTTGTTTCTTTGTCCCTTCCTGCTCCCACACCCCTCCTACAGACTTCTCATTTCCCTGTTAACGGCCCCTCCTGCCCCTCTTACCTCTGCCCTTCTCCTCCCACTCCTGCCACCCATCCATGTCTGCTTCCATTGCCTTCCCCTTATCCACTCCTATACCCCAGGCTACACTGGAGCCCTTGCTTATACCTGCCTTTAATTAGCTTTTCCTGAGAGGCCAGTGTCAGGGACAAAAACCCACACCACCTTCCCTGAGTATCAAAGTGAATTTGGAGTCTGCAGAGCAAAGCCTGAATTTGAACATCGCTATTGCTTGGAAAGGCCTCTGGGCCTGACAGCTGCCTTTGCAGAGGGTTAAGTGTGTGTGACAGGGCAGAGCACTTGTTTATTTCCCAGTCAATGCACTAAAGAGAAATGGAGTCATCTCCCTCCTTCTGTAGCAGAGATGCTGGCTTTGTTTATGTTTTATTTAGAGGTCTGAGCCCTGATCTTAAAATATAGCTGCCTGCTTCCATGGTGGCGTAGTCTAGGCTTGCCTGGGGGGTGGTGTGAAGGGGTAGAGGAGGGGAAAGGCATTCTGAGAAGGGAGATGAGGGGATCTTGGGTGGTGACCCAGATCCTGCACCTGGATAACTGTCTATGCTCCTGCCGATGCAGATGTCAGCCGAGCCCACACAGTGCAGACTCAGCTTCCCCCCTGTCAGGCAAGGGGGCTGCTTCCGCGGCCTGGTGAGTGAGCTGGGATGCCTGACCTACATTCCCTACTCTGCAGAAGAGCAGAGCCCATCCTTCTCTTCGGCTCTGCTCTCTGGCCCTGACCATTTTCATCCATACCTACCCTGCTGCCCACAGCTCCCTTCCCCCTGAAGCCCAAGTGTCTCTTACAAGTACAGCATGGTCATGTTTTGCCTCCTAACAGCCTCCCAGGGCTTCCCAGCACACTGCTAAGGAAAGTCTCTTCACTATTGCACTCCAAGACTTTCCATATGTGTCTTTTGCCACCTCTCAAACTTCATATCTTTGCTGTCTTTTGTGCCTTGGCCATATGTCCCCTTTGTCCTTGTGGCCTTTGTACTTACGATCATGGCAGCTTCACATGACAGATTTTTTTTGTTGTCATTTAGGACCTGTTTACATATCAGTTCCTCTGAAGCATGACTTCCCAGTCAACCATGAGCCCCTCAGTCTGCTTCTGCTGGTGTCTTCACCATGCATATATTAAACAGCTGTTGAAACCAATTTAGGGTGAGTGAACAAGGCTCCAGGTGCTACCTGAGGTTGTTCCATGACAGTCTTCACTTCAATTTGTTTTGAAGGAAAAGGAGAGGTGCTGTGTTGGAGAAACTTCTGAGCTATGGGGTCTCTTTTCAGGAACTGGTTGGATCTAGCATTCTAGCAGACCTCATGGCTAGTCTCAGCTCCTATGATGCTTCCAGCCTTGGACCAGACCAACTGACACAATCCCCAGCTGTTTCTCAAACCATCCAGTAGGACCCTAATGTGGAGCTAAGACTGATAACATCAGGAGGGGGTGGACCCAGAGCTGTGTGCCATGCGCCTGTACCAAGAGCAGTAGCCATTGGCTATATCTTCCATGCTTGCTTGTGATGGACGCGCCATGGCTTGTGTGTGTCTGTGTGTGTCTCTGTGTGTGTGTCTGTCAGTCTGTCTTTACCCCTGTCAAGCCTCACTTGATGAAGGACTCCTAGTACCTGCTGCCCTAGGAATCCTTTATTTTGGAGAGAATTCAATTGCAATTAAAAGTAATTATACTTTCTCTCTTCCAACTAGGGCCAGCTCCTTAGCCCTTTATGATGCTGAGTGATAATGAGGACTGAGGAGGATGGAGAAATGGCTCTGTGGGCAAAGTACTTGCTGTGTAGACACAGAGACCTGAATTCAGACCCTGAAAAGGTAGAAAAAAGGGGGATACCCCGCTCCAGGTGCTTGCTGGCTAGCCAGGCTAGACTAGTCAGTGAGTCCAAGCTAATAAGACACCTGGTCCCCAAAACCTGTGGAACAACACCCAAGGTTGACTTCTGGTCTCCACATATATGTGCATGTATATTCGCGCACATGCATGCACACACGCATGCACACACACAGCATATAAACATGCACATCTACACTTGAGTCCACACCCTCTTCTGCCTCTGCAGGTGTCATACATGCATATAGTGCACACACATACATATAGGCAAAACACTCGTGCATATATATAAAAATAATAAGTATTAAAAAACAAGGGCTGAGGATAAGGTGTCTAGGTAGCCTTTTAGGTGGAGTTATAGCAGAAGCTACTGGGCTGGAGGCAGGTCTGGGAGAGATGGAGGGAAGAAGCAATAGACCACAGAGCTGGAAAACTCCTGAACCTTGGGCCTTAAGATGGCCATTACAGGGAAAGGAAGGAGTACAGCTGTGTGGGAGATGGGCATGAT